TAAGTGTACTGCAAAGTTATATTCAGAAAGAATGAACCAGTTTTATTTAAGAAAGGACTTGTGTCGCTAAAGTTTCGTCGAAACGAAATTACGGAAAATTAACTAACGAACGGAGACGTAACAGTCACTTTAAACTTAACTACTTTTATAAGCACACGCTATAATTCACAGCGATTCACACACTTTACGTAGGGTGCCTACTGCTCGCTTGACTCGATTATCTGTCTCTATATCTATCTATTTATCTATCTAAGTCACGATCCTTCTAGAAACTCTAGCGTGCATGCTCCCAGCGTCGCGTGACTTCCGCTGTCGTAACATATCCTCAATTATATACTGGCCTATAATAATAGATATCGAGGTACATACATTTAACTAAGGCTTAGTATACAAAATTTGGTAGTTGAGTTTAAAATTAAGATTAATTTTGATGACGATACCATTCACAATGTAACATGGCCAGAGGATGTAATTTGTAAAAGAATGATGAATAGATTGCATTGTTTATTAAGTTGAGTTACACCTGCTCTGAATTTTTTACGGTCGTAATTCACAGATCTTTTAATCGAAAGAAAATCATTATACAGAATGTTAATTTACAAAATGTTAATTATTATATTTGAAATAATCTCAGAATTGTGCCAAAAAATCTGACCCAGTAATTTCGAAAGTAATGAGCATGGATTAATAAAAATAATTTTGAATAAATAAGGTTTATGTTTGTTTGTAATTAAGTACAAAGCTACACAATGGGCTATCTGTGCTCTGCCCACAAGGGTATCGAAACCCGGATTCTAGCGTTGTAAGTCCGCAGACATACCGCTGTGCCACTGGGGGGGGGCAAAATAAATAAGAAAACACTTCATAGAAAAGCCTTTCAATTTCCCCGGCCACTGCTCACTTTGGGGGAAAGCACTTTCTTCCTGTTATTTTGTATGAATATATGCAAAACCTGAGTGAGTCTGTGGCCAAATAAATTTATAATGTTTGACAATTAATGATTATTGCGCCATTTTTTTGTAATAAACATACAAACATAAGCACGTTTTGCACATAAAAAAAGCGTTATGGCAGGAGACACTCAGATCGCCTTGCTGTCAATTCAGTATTTCCAAAAACAGTTTTCTTTAAATAGTGCTAAGTGGTTTCATAAGTGATTTAGTAACTTTGTGAATTGCAAGTTAT